TCAGAAATTATAGATCAGACATATGGATACTGTGTACATCAAGTCAGTAAGACTATCTTCGTATCCTGCATGAAAGATCCTACTCCGAACTCCAGCACATCTCAGTCTCAGGTCCATAAATCATCAGCAGGATGTCAGTCCTCATTCAATATGTCATTCTCAACCGATGTCCCGGTCTTCTGGCACTGATTGTTGTCCATGTCCTCTTCTTCGTCATTGTCAACATCCTCATTGGCATAACATCAAGCTCATCAAGCTTTAACCCAGTTGGGTCAGCAAATGCTTCATCTTTGCTCAAATTCAGGTCTTGTACATTCTCTTCATTATCAAGATCATGCTGGTCACCAATCTCATCACTCGATTCATTAAGCTTGTCAGAACAGGGGTCCCCAGAGTCATCAGCATCAGCAGTTCGGTCTTCCTTGGCTCTAAGCTCCCTAGAGCTAGCATCTTTATCTGTGACAGCTGGTCCAGATTCATACTTCTCATTTGAGTTCTCAGGATTTTCATCTTCATGTGCATCCCAAAGCTTTTCACCAACAGCTTCAGCATTAGCTCCAGTCTCCCCCATGGCAGAATCCAACTGGTCATCCTCAGCTTCTTCATTGTCATCCTCTGAAGAGTCCTCACTTACACTGAGTGCATCGACAGTGAAATCATTTTCCATCTCAATTCCTTTATCATTTTTACTTGGGACTTCATTTGAAGCATCTTGTTCTTCCCCATCCTGTCTCAAATTATGAAGGATGCTTAATACCATAACTTAAAAATACCAAGTTAAGGAAAGGCTACTCTAGCAAAACTGCAATCTAATACCTTTTCAGAAGTACCAAGTAGTTGATCTTCATCAGTTATCTGGTCACTGACATCTTTCAATCCTGAACCCTCACCCATACCGGTTCCACTCGCTAACTGGGATCCATCAGGAACAGAGACATCGTCATGGTCTTTGGCAGAAGTGCCAAACCCTTTTGAATACAAGGAGGCCAAAATATTTGCAAGTGCATGAGTCATAACAGATACCTGCATGCAAGTATATAGATTAAGGGAAGACTCAAACAAGGGAATCGCTCATATTCAAAGATCATTTTTCATTTAAATAAAAACTAAAAAATCCTTCCAAAAACTTTCACAATGAGATAGGTCATATTGATGACATGGTAATATTCCAAGGCACTGTCTGTATATGCTTGGTGATTTAGTCGCAAAATGATCAGAAATAGAAGATATAAGAAAGAAGAAAATAACAAGATGCTGCAGGTTGACTCACAGTTTTAACCATAACCAGAAAGTCTTGCAGGAAACAGTCAGCAAAGCTCAATATTAGGTTCAGAAATGCAAGTAGATACTTCAAACAAGCTCCAATACGGGAAGAAAGTGTTGGGACATTTTGGCCGAAATGGTTCAGCAGCTTTTCCTGAGTAAAAACACCCCATCAAAGTCATATTCTCTTACTAACAAAAAGATATTTCGTAGACCACTTAAAAAGGAAAGAAAACTGGAACATACTGTTAAACAAATCAGTTTGAGGAGCTTATTGCATAATTCATCTACTCTAAAATCTGCCACAGTTGACTTAAATAAAGCTCCCCATGCAGTAACATTCCCCAGTAGTTCTTTGGAAAAAGAATGACCATTGCAAGATGAACCTAATTTTTGCAACACATCAAGGATGTCTTCATATGTTTCTCCGATGGCTCCACCAAACTCTGCTTCAACTTCAGAAAGATTTTCGGGGAAAGTTGGATCTTGACATGAAATTTTTGGTTTGTTTCTAGCATCCAGTGCAGGATTGAGTTTTTCAGCCATCAGTTTTCCCTGTCAAACCAAAGTTATATACAATGAAATTTTTTATCAAGATAAAAAGATATCCCATTATTATGTCTAGAAATTCTTCTCAAGTAATCTTTTAGGGTGCTCATAGCACATTAACCCTGTCAACCATTAATCGAAATGAATGTAGAGTATAGTCGAGCAAATGACAACTGGATGAACATTATACCTCATTCAACATCTCATTAAAGTGATTCAGAAAAGTTTCTATAACAGAATTTTTCTCGTGATCTTTCTTGCGGAAAGTGGAGAGATCGTCTTCAAATTCCTTAATGACATCCAAGTTCTGGAATAACAATTGTTCCATTTGCTTAGAAATTATATATGGATGGACACAAGAAGTCAAATTTGTGATAGCTTCATTGCAGCCAAGAAGGTAAGTATCCAAAGATTCCTGTAACAAAACCTCTATCAGAATAATGCAACTGACATATTAAGTTGCATCAAATAGTCTAACAAAATTGTGCACCTTAGATTTCTGAATTACTGGAATAAATTTCTCAATCAAAGCGAGAAAACTATCCGCTGCTTTAGCATTTTTACAAGAGTTCAAGTGGGTTCTTTCAAAACTTCTCAGCAACAGAGATTCTTCAAGCAACATAGCACCAAACCTATCAAAGAGTTGCTGCAAAAATATGAGAGGCGCAAATTATTACTCACATGCCTCAATAACAAGAAAAACAAGAACCACAGAACAGAGATTACAAAGTGTTAACCCACTTTTTGTTGCCACAAACACATAAAGGTGTCATGTTGATTTTGAGCAACAGAGCACATAACCTCAGTCCTAGCATCAGTGTCAGTGGAAGCAGATAATAAATCTTCCATAGCTGAGACATAGCCACGCAAGCTCTTCAACTGCTCAGCAAACTCGTATGCAGCAGCCCGTTGCATCTGCTGTATAGCCACAAGATGGCTGAGAAAAGAGACTGACCTATTAACCTGCATAAACAAGAAAGAAAAAATTTAAAAATTAAAGAAGACAAAAAGATAACAATAAATGATTTCAGTAGTGGACGATATTCTGGTAATACTCTTTGAGTTGTTCAACAAAAATCTTAAAATTTTCTTCTCAAGAGTTTTTATACAGATAAAAGACAAGGTAGCTATCTGATTTATTGAATTATAATTGTTTGGAAGAGTAGTAAATATGAGATAATATTTTTCTGAATACTCAACCGACTCGACTGCATTTGTGTAAACAAAATGATTTACCTGCTCAGAAGTAAAATCTCCATGACGTCTTAAGCAAATCTGTTGTAGAAGTTGCATTGATGCTAAGCTTTTAAAGTAGAACTCATTTGCTGTTTTCCATTCAGATTCTGAATCTTCATTTGACAGATATTTCGTGTCATGGGCAGCAGAAGCCACATACAGCAGTCTGCTCTGTGTCAGCAGTAGATGCTGCAAACTATATGTTGGCTGAACAAACAAACTTGATATCTAGCAAATGCCAGTACCATCAATAAGTTTATCCATAATTTACAAACTGCAAGTTAAGATAATGAGAAAGTTAATGTCCACCACCATGTGTCTCACCTCCACATTTTCAAATTTGTTTCTATGCAAACCGCTGCTCTCTAACAGCTTTAGAAGTTCAGATAACGCTCTCTTCTTTCCCAAGCTTCTAGTTAGATCCTTCCAGAGATCTCCACAACTAATTATTGTCCTAGATATTCTTTCCAGGGTATACCACATTTTCTTCCATTCTTCCTGACTAGATGGACAGGCAGGTTGGCAATCTAAGCACAACCTATCAATGTTTGCAACATCTGAAAGCCAAAAGAATTGGATTAGTAAATGATACTAAAACTTACTTATTGGGTTACTAAAAAAAAAGAACATATATTTTTTAATAAAAATGGGAAAAGGAACACCTTCAGCATTTAGAAAGAAGATTTGAGATCTTTTTCCAATGTCAACGTTTTGCAAAGTTTCACTTACTTTCTTCCCCCAACTTCCAAACCATGAGCATCTACAGCATGTCATACCAGAAATTTCAGAAAAACTGTTTCCATTTAAAAATAATAATAGTAAAAA